GATATCAGTCTTGAATCTAAGACACATCTTAATGTGAATCTTAACGAGTCCATTATCGAGGTACTTCTTTTCTGTTCTTATTCTTCTCAAAAGTTGTCCCGCTCAAGGGGTTCTTCGTGTTTCCAAATGGTATTAGTTGGTAAAATCTAATAATATGTTACCATGCTAACTTGGTTAGCAACAATTATGCTCATTGTTCTCTTATAAGGTTTAATCTGACTTATAGCTTTTGCCTTTCTGTTTGACTTTTTTTTCCTCACCTTTCATTCATAATTTTGTATCTTTAGTTATGTGGCCCTAATGACAATTCATATCCTGCAAAAGGTTGTGTCAAGAACAATTGAGATGATTGGGGATGCATGGACGCATTCTGGAATGACTGAAAGCCCAAATCTTTCAAATTCTCAGATAGCTAAAATTCCAGAGGCACGGAGATACACACCTTACATTCTGCAGAACTTAACTACTCTACCTCTAGCTTTTTTTATATCTCAACAGAGCTTTGGGAATGATGATCCCGGTGTGTCCCCTTCGAAAGGATTCTTGCAACCTGGCTCTTCTACTCTTGTTCACATCAATGAATCACCTGCGGAACTACTTTTCCGGTATAGACCAGCACAATCTTCTGATAGACTCAATGACAACCAATTTCTTGAGGCAGCACATCGATATGTTGGTTTTCAGCTGGAGGGTACCTCTGTACCTTCTGCTCCAATTTCAATGGATCTTGTTGGTCGTAGATATTTCGAAGTTGAATTTTCACAATCTTCACATGTTTTGGAGGTCCAAAGTGATGAAAAGTCTATGAAAAGAAATGGAAAATCCAAAGGAGATGGTGTGGGAGATACAGCTAGAGGGTTCGCTATTCCTGTCTTGATTGATGTTTCTGTGCAGCGGTTTACCAAGTTGATACGATTATACTCAACAGTATGTTTACATTCTGTAGTTTTCTAGTATGAACTTTGTTCTTCTACCTTACTAGATAATCCCTACTTTCAGGTTGTGATTCTAAACTCAACTTCCGTGTTGCTTGAAGTAAGGTTTGATATTCCATTCGGTGTGGCCCCAAAGGTAATCCGTCAAACTTTTTTGGTTTCCAATTTTTAACATCCCTTGGGAACTTGAGGACCATGTGCCACTTACGTTCCTAACCTCACCTGTTCAGGTT